CCGACCAGACACAGCGAAAACTAAACAATTACTAGAGACAACCGAAATGAGGATTCTTCGTAGAATAACTGGAAAAACGCTCTTGGACAGAGAGAGGAGCGAAAATATAAGACGAACATGCAGGGTGGAAAACGTTAATGCGTGGGTATTGCGTAGAAAGAAAGAATGGAACGAGCATATTAGTAGAATGGACAACAGAAGAATAGTCAGAATTGCACGCGACAAATCACCATTGGGTCGCAGGAGCTTAGGTCGCCCCCGAAAACGATGGAGTGACAACCTGGCAGTGGGATAGGCAGAGACGACAAAAATGAACAGGCAATTTGCCTAGACTAAAGTAGGAAGAAGAAGAAGAATATATATATATTCTCACGTATTGATTCACGGATGGAAAAATGTGATGACACTATATTCCGGGATATCATCCGTTCGCTCGTTGAACTCCGACTGGAATCCTGCAAATCTTGCATCCGACTGGAATCCTGCAGACGTTTCGCCAAAATCTCACTTGGCATCTTCAATGCTCGCGCTCCGAAAACACTTCGAACACTGATGATATCCCGGAATATAGTGTCATCACATTTTTCCATCCGTGAATCAATACGTGAGAATATATATATATATATATATATATATATATATATATATATATATATATATAAGCGAGAATTGTAGAAGTGGTTTGGTGAGAGTGAAGATAAGTATCCCTGTGTAACTTATTAATATTGTCTTATAAAGTTTTAGCTGGTAAGTCAACAAGCATTATAAAAGTCCCTCCAATGAGCTTCTTAGTTTCAGAAAAAAGTTCGAGAAGGGCTTTTAAAGGTTAAACTTTAAAATATCAAAAATTCTGTACATGTATGTACATTGTACGTTAAATTTAAATACTTACAGTACGTCTGCATTTAGTAATTCTTACACTTAAGAAATAGGTACATTATAATGGAAAATGTATGCAATATGTGTGTACTTTGTAAATAGATTTGTGAACTGTGAAACTGGAGCATTGATGGTATGTATTGGTGATCTGGAATCCAGCGCACAGTGGACAATTTTACGAAATTAATCAGAAGTTATTATTTTGATGTTATCAGAACCATTTTTAGAATGTTTTAGTAGAAATTTGCTTATGTATATTAGAAAAATTATTATGTTTTATCAAACATTTTCCGCTTTAGCTGTCTGGTTTGAAAAACAACATCCAAAAATCATGCCCATAAACTGTTTGGTTACTTTTTCAATTAATTGTTTGCTGAAATTTTATCAGACAACTTGTCACCATTTATTAATCAACGCTTTATATAGATTAAATTTATGGTTGTCTTTGCCCTAATTTTCCCACATTCCGATATTTCACGAAGAACAGCATTATTTGTGACATTGTATTTGTATTGTTCAACTTGTAATGTGGTCTAAAAGAGGATATTACAGGATCTGAGAAATTCCCGTAATCCTTATTACCTTATTATTATAATTATTGTGCTAAATAGACATGAAACAACTTCTACGATCACAATATGGAACAAAAATACTCAACAATCCCGACCTTTGCATGCCAAGCGGTTCTATAAAAACATAAAAAAAAATCCAGTCTCGCTTTAAAGAAACCTGGAAAAGTTTCGTCTTTGTATGCAGCGCGGGTCTTAATTAAAAGCGGAAGCTTCAATGGAAAATGTTGAAAAGGCATTAATAAGTCTTTTAGGGTTTCGACAGCCTCTAAGCCTTCCATTTCATTTTAAAAATACGGTTACCGATTCCGGGAATGGTTTAGATCTATATACCTGCGTCCGAGAGTGAAGCATCACTTCCTCTCAACTCTTTGCCTTTAGAAATGTTGAGTTAATATAATTATACCTGCGGCTCGCGCGGAGGACTTTGTCCATCGCCACAGATTTTCAGACGTCTTTCGACTTTCTTCAAATTAATTTTCTGGCAAATGATTTCGTTAAGCTTGTTGGTCACATATTATATCATTATAGAAGATTTTTAAAACAACATTTCGGTTGATATGCTAACACAAAACTCCAAAATATTAATAATAGTCAAAACTTTAGTAAGCTAGAGTTGGTTTTTCATTTCATCCATTCCTAACACATTGTGTCAAAAATTATAGATAAAATTTAATTGCTTATTTTGGTTTTTATAATAAACTATTGTTCTATCCTACTGCCCCCATTGCTAACTCTTTGTAGAAGAGCTCGGTGATATCATTAAATTCACTATCATCAAATTAATGGTCACTTAAGTAATAATAGCCATTTTATTAACTAATACTTTCTGAGTGGTGTTTATAGTTAGGCAAATTGTGATATTTTTCGATTTTCCGGTTCTCATAGCAACCCAATCATCAAAATGACGTCATCTTACCTGCTCCTAGGATCTCCATCCCCCCGTCGGAGAGCCTAATCAGGCGAAAGACGCACGTAGTGAGCAGAAAAATCCGCGCAATCACAAGGCGCCGTAAGTGCGACGACGACCGCTGTTGAGACATCGCGACGCTCCCGATCAGCACACGTGCCGCATGCCGACTGACGACGCGTCGCGACGCCGAACGTGCCCAAGGCGCGAGACGCTTGCGCCCGCGACACTGACCTACGCAATAATACCGGTTGCTGGCGCTGCTGCGTGGCAATCCCGAAGATAAAGAGACGAGAGAGGCACGATAATAAGGTTTATAGTCTGGCTGAAAATAGAGCGACTAACTTGATTCGGGAACACTTTTAAAGCGGTGCTTCTATCTGGAGTGGACCGGTGCTTTTGACGGGCGATTGGGGATGCTGGCGAAGTCGCCCAACCAATAATTGCTTTAGCACCTGTCGAGGTTAAGTCAGCGCCATTTTTGTCGTCGCATTGAGTGCGATACTTTTGTATTTTGTTTTTGTGTAGCGCAGAGTAATACGATGATACTGAAGTGTCAAACTTTGCGATTTGATAAGTTTCTTCTTCTTTTTCATGAGTCATTTCAATTAATTAATTTAATAGAAATACATTATTATTATTTATTATTATTATTACACTGCTGGAGCTAATCTATGAAGAGCGAATTGATGTTATTCCGTTCACCCATATCCAGACATTAATTTCTATACTATTCTGCAGGTCTTTAGGGTCTTTTGCGTAGGTACACATATGTCATTCTTTAGACCAGCATCCTTAATATAATTTTGAAAACGTTTTGTCACAACTTCCTAAACAATTGAAATCGTTTTATGCTGTTAGTGGATCTTGATATTTTGGACGTCGCTATGTTTGTTTCATACCATGTGTTTGTTTTGGCCTATGGTGTTGGATATGCCTGTCTGTTTTAATTGTCATATCCCAGTATATGATTATATTAACACAGTCGGAAAAGTGGCAACTCTGAATGCCGTGTTTTCAGTTTAATTGTGGTCTTCTCTCTTTTTGCCTTTCCTTTGTTAAAAAAATAATTTCCATTGCGGCCGCCGCTATAACTTTCCAGTTGGTGTGTATAGTAGTTTACTCATATCAAACAGTAGAGAAAAAAAGGCGTTAAATGATTTACAAAACTTCATTGTCTTTAAGTTAATCTATAACCTGTAACACCACATTATTTGTTTGACTATTTCCTCGCTCTTTCAGATTTTGTTCGGTACTATAAAATGTTTTTACTGTCATCTGTCGCACTTTCTTTTGGATTGCTCTTGCGTTTCGTCAATCATTTTGTTGGCTTCTTCAGCACTTAACTAAAAGTGGTTTACATTCTACTGTGTATTTGATTATATACTGGTTGTGGGAGGCGGGGCTTAAGGAGGGGAGACGTAAGATGAATCCAGAAGCTCTGTAAATAATTTTTTATTTATGTATACTGCTTGATTCAAAAATGTTATTATAGTAATTTGACACAAAATTTATGAACCTTTTATAGCTGACTACATCTTTTATTCAACCATAAAAAAATCTTACAAGATCATTCAAGAAATTATCATGATATTGGTTTGTAATCATTTTTAATTATGCACTGTATAGACAATTTGCTACTAGTGTTACTTCGCACATGATGGTACTAAGTTGATGGAGCTCCGAGTCGTTGCACAAATAGAGCAAGTCAAGAACCTATAATCATGTTTGAAAACCGATGGATAAAACTTCTAGGTCCATGTAATTGGCCACCAAGTTCGCCAGATATTACTCCGGTTGATATCTACCTTTGGGGCGCTATTAAAGAAAGAGTGTATCTATCAAACTCCAGCTAGACCATTAGAAGATTTGGAACGCCGTGCCAGGCAGCCTTTTCAACGAATTGATCCAAACGAAATCCAAAGGGCACATATTATAAAGTGAATCCGTGTATATCTTGGAGCACGCAGAGGTCATTTCAAGCATAATGTCTAGTTGTATGTAATTAAAAACAATTTAAAACCGCTTTTTAGTCTTCAACATTAGTTTTGTACATAACAATTTCTATGAATATTACATGTTTGTTGGCATATGTATTTCCTTCCAATTTCACTGTTACAATTACTCATTTGAACACGTTAATAACGAAATATTAAGCTTTTTTATTTGAAACGTCACCATAGCCCACGAGAGCCTGCTATCCAATTTTTTGCTTATAACTCGAGAGCCAGTGAAAATAGATATACCATAGTATGGTACTTTTAGATGGAAAATTAATTGCTCATTTAAGTGCCAATATAAAATATGGGATGTTCCATTTAAAATTCCCACGTAACATGAATTTCTATTTCTACTAAAATTTCTTAAAAAGTATTTTTTATCTCCGAAAATGTTCAAGATGTTACACAAAAAAATTCCAGAATGTTTAGCAGTATATAAAAATATAATAATATAGAGAGTGTACCATTTAAAAAACGAAAGTTGATATACGTTACAAATATATCTGGCAACATCGCAAGGCCAAAAATATTTTACATAAGTAGCACATATTCCCTTACATAAGTAACCAACATTTCAGCTTTTTATGGTAAGCCATTCTCCATAAACGTCTAATTGGACACTCACAGTGAATAGCCCTGTATAATATGGTCTCATTTTCTATTGATTTCAAAATTTTAAGCTACCTATAATTCTAATCATAAAATTCTCTTGACGAAGAATCCAATCGAAACTAAGTACAAAGGCAAAATTTGTAGTTATTTTAAAGCCGCCAACATTATGTTACACGAAATTTGAAATTTTCGAAAACATCAAATTTTACATTGTTTTTTTTTTGCATCGCCCACATTTTCTGAGGTAGATTTAGTTTTCTATTCTTATTTAATTTGTTAAGGCAGTTTTTTTAGAATTTATTCATAAATTTTCAAAAAATTTTATTTATTCGTAAATATTTTATTTTTCGTTGTTTTTTATTTTTATATCATGACCAATGAAATATATTATTTTATTGTAAATTTTATTTAAATGTTCTAATTTAAGAAAGAACCAACCAAAGCTCATTACGTCCTTCAAGATCCCATTGCGCGCGACATTAAGAGAAAGAACGATCACGTCCGGGTCGAATAAAACGCGATTCTAGTTTAAAGTTGGCCGTGATAAAGCACAGCGTTCCTAAAACAAATTCCTGCAATTCTCCGATTTTCATTAAAAACCCGAAGGATTCGATTAGCCCCGATCCAGAAAACTATCCGCTTTTTTCTCCCCCCTAATTATTAACGGCGCTCCAGATATCCCGGGATTCGGAAACTTAAACTGGTGGGTTTTCTATTCAGACTCGCGAACATCCATTGAATGAAAAGAACTTCCGATCACTTGCTGACGACACAAACTTCCGACCGCCGATTTATGAAGTCTCGCACAAGCGGCAGTCAGCGCGGAGCCGAAGAATTGTGGACCGAACCTTGCTCCAGTTATTTTAATATTAATTCTTTTGTCTGGCGCGTTCGAACGCGACGTGTTTCTTTTGTTTTTCACCGCCGTCGCGAGCGGGAAAATACAATCCGGTAACCGTCCGTTCTTCTAAAAGCAACAAGAACGAAGCGCGTTACCTAAATGGAAACTTTAATTAAGTACCGACGTTCACGAACGATCGATACACTTGCAATAATAAAATTGCAAAAATTTTGTCGACGGATTGATCCAGCTTCGTATTCCTGAAGCATGCAAACTAAACAACGTTGTCATTTCCAACGAAATTCCCTGAATACGTATAAGATGAGACAAGTGAAAATATATCCCGACCTTGCTTATTCATATTAAAGATGCAGGTGCTCTTGAAGCTTTTGACCAATCAGGCCTTACGACCGCCAGTGTGAGTTATTGGGTTTTCAATTAAATGTGTGGAAATCAGCGTTAAGAAAAAGCCATAAAGTGTGTTGAATTTAGGGATATACGCGGAAGAACATTCCATTCTGCATGATAATACCATAGACGCGTCAATTGTACAGTAGAGTCCTCCTGAAGATATACCGTTTTACAACCTTTTACGGTTTTGACGGTAAAGCGGAAGGGACCAGACAAGAACTGTGCCTTGCGGACTGATGTATTTTAAGAGTAGGAAATTTTCTTTGATTAAACTTTTTTATTAATTCATATTAGGGCGCTTTTTATAAATCTTCCTAAAACAGTACCTACTTGAGGTAGCTCGATTTCAAGTTGAATTTGCCCATTAGATAGGTTAGTCTCCTATATTAGAAAGCTTACACTGATTTCCAATTTAAGCCGTCTTCATTGCCGACTGTCCCAACCGAGTCCTATTGTGTCCCCACCAACCCATTAAACCCCACGTTGTTTCAGATAAGGGTGGGTCATCTTAATTTATGCGGCAACACTCACTAGCAATTTCCACCCTGGCCGTGCGACCTGGACAGATAAGCGCGGGGTGGTTTTATTCATTTAAATGAATAACAATATCAAAAGGGGCTCCCTTTGTCGTCGAGAAAAAGCACTATACGAATCCCATAAAGAGACGTCGGATTGAGTTTACTCCTCTGTATAGAGGGGTGTAAGTGGTTGACGGGCACAAAGAAAAGTTTGGAGGTTTCGAGAGTTTGTCGACTCCCCCACGTATTAGGATTGCCGGTTTAATCCGGCCTGTCTTCGGCATCATGGGGAGATAAAGATAAAATTTTATTAAATTGTTTTGATACGGGTAGCGAGAAAATGGCCGTAGGCAGTCGGAAACGTTTGTCTTTAATTTTGCGAAGATTATGTTAGCGGGTGGTTTTCTACTAACCGTATCTCTAAAGCGCATTTGTCGACACTGTGTGTCAGGTTTAACTAAATTTCAGCAGTCAGCAAATCAGATTAATAAGCTTTATGCGAGGGTTACCTTTTATATATGTATAAAAAACTATAAGCTACTAACTAATATGATTTTACTGTTTCTCAAAATATTCACCCTGATGATCAATACACTTTTGCATTCGATGAAACCTATCATCAGAGCACTTTTCTCACATCGAGTCGGGCACATCCAAATAATGCTTTTTAAACGCATCAATCGCTTTTTGTGGTATCAAAAATCATTAAGTGCTGAATCAGAACTATATGGTGGATAGCTCATCAAATCAACGTTTTTAA